ACAATGCAGTCATTTTTACTGCTTTTGGGCAATATAGGTATATACTAAGTTTCAGTCTTTCTAGTGTTAAAACGATTTGATTTGCAGGTACGAGAGCAACGAGAACATGACGATAACATGTTCGACCAAAGTCTGCTCTTTCGGGAAACAGGTGGTGGAAAAAGTGGAGACGGAATACGCTAGGTTCGAGAACGGCAGATTCGTCTATCGTATCAGCCGATCGCCGATGTGCGAGTACATGATCAACTTCATACATAAATTGAAGCACCTGCCGGAAAAGTACATGATGAACAGCGTTCTCGAGAATTTCACCATTCTCCAGGTACGATGATCCTGCCTCCCCCGATTTTAATTATCACTCATAAAACCGAGGGACAGTTCCTCGAACACGCGGATTAGTTTAATACACCGTCCGCGTTTACGGTCGTAAATAAGCGACAGGAAAACGAATACGTTTAAGCCGGATAATTATGCGAATGATTTACTATGGCGGATGCGTGCTCTCGTCGCCCGAGGGTGCAATTACATAAGTGTACCACAAGTTTTTAACACGGACCAACGGTCAGTGTATAAAAAGATAAACGCATCTTGCTGCCTAGTTTAATTGAATGCTAAAACGCAATGTATATAGCATACTTTGATTTAATTTTGCTGAAACTAGAACTCTTTACATAAAGACGGGAAATAATGTGGCAAAGGCTTATGTGCTGTCTCGTTTGAATTGCAGGTTGTCACGAACAGGGATACGCAGGAAACGTTATTGTGCACGGCATACGTGTTCGAGGTGTCGACGTCCGAGCACGGTGCTCAGCATCACATATACAGATTGATCAAGGATTAGCCTGCTTGAACCTGTTCGCCATGCAGCCATCCACCCCCATCAGTGCCTACCATCACATCAAACAAAAAAAAAAAAGAATCATCCATACGCGCATACAAACACGATCACACACAGAAGCACATTGACCCTTTGAAGCGTCGTGGTGGTACCCCCGCGAAACCAATCATTTTAAGTTTCTGTTCGCACTTCTTTTTGCATCGAACGATACGGACGACTTAGTGTGCGTGCAATAGATACAGTATTTGTTACTGTGCAAAAACGAGGAAATTTAGTTTTTAATTGACCCGCATTTCGAACGTGCGAACTACTTTTACAATTTGACCCTTTCTCTAGTTTCCCCGATTTTTTCTTTCTGTTTTTAATCAACGATCGAACACGTTGAAGATTTCTTTTAAGCGCGCAGCTTTGAAGGGTCGAGGGATTAAACACGCTCGTACTAGATCGAAATTGCATATATTTCGCGTTTGAATGTAAGAGTTTCGATCGAAAATGTTCTGCCGTTTAAAAAAAAAAAAAAGAAAGAAAGAAAGAAATGAACGCGATGCGGAATAAGACTCGGGACAAAATGTGTTTATCGAAATCAGATGTTTATTTTAATGGTAAGAAACGGATCGAGCGATTATTATATATACACATATATATAAATATACATATATATAAATATACATATATATTTTTATTTGCAAATCAGAGAGATTCGACTCGATTTTTAATCGGACTATATAATTTTTTAATGCGAGTTAGGCGTTTGTTCATTCAGTATTTACGAACATTTTCTGCGAAACTCCTGAAAGAGAAACTCGTAAAACGGGATACAGTATACACGCATTACATCGACACGACAATGAACACATGTACACACTCTCACGTATTAAAAGTACTGGCCAGCCCGAGCTTGAGTTTGATTCAAGAAGAAGAAGAAGAAGAAGAGAAAAAAAAAATAAGAGTATAGAGAAACGCAAATGGAATGTAATTAAAATGTGAAAATTAATTGGTGCGCGTGTTTTTAAAAAAATTTCCTACGTAGACGGAATTGTAAATTTTATATCGAGGACGCAGATGTAATCGTATATGATATATTTTATGAATATTTCGTCATTCGCTTGCAAACGAACGAATTCGTCGCAGTTTTAACTGGGAGGAGATGTTAATAAAAGTTAAGTTGAAATCGACAATAAAAATTTCGTACGTACGGACGAAGGTAAACGTACCGAGAAGAAAAAAAAAAAAAGGGTAAAATGAAATGAATTAGACGAGAAACAGACTCGGACCTCGGAAAGGCGTTGTACCAACATAATTTAGTATTATAGTTTTATTATTAAATTAGGAAATAGAATCAGACAAGACATCCACACACAGATCTACATATATTACATATAAGAATATGTATGTTAAATATTAATGCAATGATTACGATTTACATTGTTATAAATGATCGTGTATAAAGTTATCTAAGTGATTTCTAAGTTTTAAACGAAACGAGTTAAACAGAGAGGTAATGCCATTATGATTTTTTAAGTCTCTTTGGTTACATTATTNNGTGCGAGAGGTCGACTGTGCGCGGACCTTCAAGCTTTTTGTTATAGAATTGTTTTTTTCTCTCTTGTTTTTCTTAGCTGTACCACGACTAACAGTAAGAATTATGTTTCGCTGCAGAGCTTTTCTTTTAATTCTCAATGATCAGATTGAAAGAAGAGAAGTAGTAACGGGGAGGAACGTTGGAACGAGTTTTTACGTACTTTTTAAAAGAGACAGTCTTTTAATAAACGCACTTACAGTCGTGCAAACCCACCCACTTTCTTAGATAGCGACACTTAGATTAGAGGGATGCGTTTGTATTTCTTGTAATCACTTTATTTCGTACTCTCTGTAATGCCTTTCTTTTCTTCCCCCCCCCCTTCTCTTTTTCTATAGTTTTTACGCGAATCAATTTTCTTACATAGGCGTTATTTTGCTTGTTTGTATCTTTCTACTTACAAAACCGAGTACATCGAATAGTTAAATCGGATGTCCATCGGTCACCGGCGATATCTTAACGCTCTTCACGTCAGATAATCGGAATTGGTTTCCAACAGATTCGAGAAAGTTAGAAAATTCGATCCTCTGTGCGATCTCCTTCAAGAGCTTTTACATTTTCAAACAGACTTCGATAAGTCTCGTACTTAAATATCTCATTTCGACTACGGACCAGAGAAAGTTTCACGATTACGTTCGGCTAGCAAGAGTAGAGGACCATCGAAAATCATTAATTTTCTTTACTCTCGCCACATCTCTCGCGGGGACTATACACGTACATACATATATACATTTGTAAATGCACAGGGAAACTTTTTACCTATTCTTTAATCTGATCAGTTGCGTGTTCCGCGGAAAGGGCTTGCCTACGTAGCGGCGAACGTTTGATACGAATAACAGGATCGAACGAATCATGTGTACTTTTAAGCAAATAATTAATAACTTACTGTGTATCGTTTACTTTATAATTAACTCTTATGCAACAAGTGGCAATGTATTTTGATCTCTCTTTTAGTCAGAAATAACGTCGCTTTTTATTTCGGGTGAGAATTAAATTCGCCAAGTGATTGACTGAAATAACGAGGGGCACTTCTTATTATAACATTTAAATGATAATGTAACGCGGCTTTTGTTCAATAACTGGCAGCTTTCATGATTTTCACAGTTTTTACTTATTGTTACCTTCTTTCTCTTTTCTAACGATTGTAAGTCTTGTTTTTACATATTATTATTATTAGAGATAAACTGTAATTTTTGCTAAATTCTGCGTACGTCACGGTGGAATCAGAGCCGTCAGAGTGGCTTCTATAAAATATCAATAAAAAATTCTCTCAATGATTTCGTACGAAGCCGAAACTGACGGTTCTAATTCGACCCGAGAGGAATCATTATTACGAAGAAACGAACTATGCAATATATTTGAAAGATACTCATACATCCGTTTGATCATGCGAATTTTTGTTTCAACGAGAAATTACGGAGGGAGGATGATTATCGGAAGAGTTTGAAATCGTAAAAAATGGAGCACCGACACTAATATTATTAACATTAACGAATAATGATTTTAAAATAAGTGAATTTACATTTATAAGGAAAGATTATGAAAATATATATTTATCTATGTCTTCTGTGAAGATAGAAAATAGCACTCTCTCACTCTATATTGATGATATCGGAAAAATTGGGGGAAAAAGGAAAAATCGAATTCAGGAGCCGTGAGAATGGAAGAGACGCGGAAGTAGATTAAGGGTGAAAAAGAATGGAAGGATTCGCGCTGTGTACACAAAATACGCGATACGATCGATGACGAAATTTGTTAAATATCTTTGTACATATTTACATATAAAGATCATCAAAGAAAAAAAAAATGAAAAAAAAAAATAAGAGAAGTTCCAGTGGCTATCTTTTGTGTACTATATCGAGCAACTTCGGCGAGGACGGAAAATAAATTTATTTAGTACTCGTAAATTTAAGTGATATCTTCAGATTCCGAAATTGAGAACGCTTAAGTCCTTCGTCTATATTTTCATAAAGATTCATATCGTGAAAGAAATTAATTTCTGTTCAGAGCCAACAAGTTACAGACGTTGAATACATAGAATCTTTACGTTCCTCTGCGGGCAACTGATTTTAATTAAATATGAAACCTTCGGTTGAATCATTAATTGTAATCTCTATGGAAATATCGACTACGATTATTCTAGCAAAATCGTCCACGAGAATTCACTCACTCTATTTGCAATTTATATTTGTTCATATCCTGGAACTGCCATATCAAAGAATTGAGCTTCGTAAACGATTAAATGAAATATTGGTTGAAAAAAAAAGATGGGATTTACCTGTATAGCGTCACGAGATAAAACAAAACGAGGATCAAAGTAGTTGATTTAACGAGTAAATAAATAAAAAAAAAAAAACGAAATGATATATCATTAAATTAGAGGTTTAAAAATATAATAGAATTCAGTATATGTACAGTATTTGAAAAACATGTTTATAATTTGTATGGAAAATAAATAATTGATATAAAAAGAATCGGACTATCTTCTTTTACTCCCCCATTCTCTTTCCTCTGACGAAATATATATACGTTTAAAATGATTAGCATGTGTATGTAACGTATGTAACCTCATGTTACATATATACAATATCTGCATGAAATTTTTAACATCTAACGATTTAAATCGTATTTCTGTCGATGCTTCCGCGTTACATTATCGTTTTTAAATATACATGTAGCATATAATTTTAAATGTATTGATACTCTTGCGAGAGCCACGTGTATGGTTAATACATTTTCTATTCGGTAAAATCGAATTTGCTGAGAGAATGTCTAAGATTAATTTAGATGAAAAAAAAAAATAAGAGAAGTTCCAGTGGCTATCTTTTGTGTACTATATCGAGCAACTTCGGCGAGGACGGAAAATAAATTTATTTAGTACTCGTAAATTTAAGTGATATCTTCAGATTCCGAAATTGAGAACGCTTAAGTCCTTCGTCTATATTTTCATAAAGATTCATATCGTGAAAGAAATTAATTTCTGTTCAGAGCCAACAAGTTACAGACGTTGAATACATAGAATCTTTACGTTCCTCTGCGGGCAACTGATTTTAATTAAATATGAAACCTTCGGTTGAATCATTAATTGTAATCTCTATGGAAATATCGACTACGATTATTCTAGCAAAATCGTCCACGAGAATTCACTCACTCTATTTGCAATTTATATTTGTTCATATCCTGGAACTGCCATATCAAAGAATTGAGCTTCGTAAACGATTAAATGAAATATTGGTTGAAAAAAAAAGATGGGATTTACCTGTATAGCGTCACGAGATAAAACAAAACGAGGATCAAAGTAGTTGATTTAACGAGTAAATAAATAAAAAAAAAAAAACGAAATGATATATCATTAAATTAGAGGTTTAAAAATATAATAGAATTCAGTATATGTACAGTATTTGAAAAACATGTTTATAATTTGTATGGAAAATAAATAATTGATATAAAAAGAATCGGACTATCTTCTTTTACTCCCCCATTCTCTTTCCTCTGACGAAATATATATACGTTTAAAATGATTAGCATGTGTATGTAACGTATGTAACCTCATGTTACATATATACAATATCTGCATGAAATTTTTAACATCTAACGATTTAAATCGTATTTCTGTCGATGCTTCCGCGTTACATTATCGTTTTTAAATATACATGTAGCATATAATTTTAAATGTATTGATACTCTTGCGAGAGCCACGTGTATGGTTAATACATTTTCTATTCGGTAAAATCGAATTTGCTGAGAGAATGTCTAAGATTAATTTAGAGAAATTTCACGAGAGAGCATCTGCCGCGGTAAACTGCATCATCGATTTACAATTTTCAATTAACAAACTCGACGAATTTATTTAAATTCTCGTGCCCGACGTTTCGGTACAATTCTGACAGGTTATAACAGTCGGCGATTTACATTTTAGGAAGAAGAAATAGCATTTTTGAAAAAGGAGATCGAATGTTTAAAACAGATCGTAGGAGGTAACAATGCTGACGCGAGTTCTGTGTCTAAAGACGAGTATTCCAGATTGGAACAAGAGAATATCAAACTGAAGCACAGAGTAGCCGTTCTGAAAAGGGTAAGTTTAAATATTCCAGATTCAAAGTTTTAATTAAAATTAATAATACGTGATTCTGTATAGACTATCGAAGCTGACCGGGCGAAAGCACAGAGTGAAATAATGGCAATTGAAAATAACGTCATCAGTATATACGATACTCTGCAGAATCTGTTCACGAAGGCGATTTTAACTGTGTATCCCGATGTCTGCGATCCTCCAATAATTATAACGTCTATTACCAATCCAAAGTTTGGAGACTATCAGTGTAACAGTGCTATGCCGCTTTGTAAGCAACTTAGCAGTAATGGTAAGGAACGACGTTAACATTTCTCGAGTATCGAATGTATCAGGACGTTTGGTTTCATTTTACAGGAATACAAACGAATCCTAGAGACGTTGCGAACAACATAATGTCCAAAGTAGAGACCTCGGACTTGATATCGAAGTTAGAAGTCGCTGGCGCAGGTTTCATAAACGTATATTTAAAAAAGGAATTTGCTCAGAGAATCTTGAGCAGTTTAGTAAAGAGTGGGAAAGTATCTCCGCCTTATGTAAAGAAGCAGAGGGTGGTGATAGACTTCTCTAGTCCGAACATTGCCAAGGAAATGCATGTTGGACACTTGAGATCCACTATAATCGGAGACAGTATCGCGAAATTGTTAGAATTCTTAGGACACGATGTATTAAGGATAAATCACATCGGCGATTGGGGGACACAGTTTGGTATGCTGATAGCACATCTTCAAGACAGATTTCCCGATTACTTATCCGTCTCTCCGCCTATCACAGATCTTCAAGTAATCCTATTACATTTGTTTCTCTGTTCTAAAATTTAAATATTCATTCTAATCACATGAAAATTATAGAGTTTTTATAAGGAGTCGAAGAAACGATTTGACGAAGAAGAGGAATTTAAGAAACGTGCTTACACTTGCGTCGTTAAGTTGCAAGCATTTGATCCCGATATGATAAAAGCGTGGCAATTGATTTGTGACGTGTCTAGGAAGGGTAAAACGATAACGTTAAATTGCAATGATATTCAATATTCATAGGAAATTCATACTTCTTTTATATACAGAATTCGAGAAAGTCTACGTTCGACTGGGCGTCCAGTTGACGGAACGAGGAGAGTCCTTTTACCAGAATCACATGACAGCCATAGTCAAAGATTTAGAGGCGAGAGGACTGTTGGAGGAAGACGAGGGTCGGAAAATAATGTGGGGTAAACGCGATGGTGAAATACCGCTGACCATTGTGAAATCGGACGGCGGGTTCACTTACGATACATCGGACATGGCAGCTATTAAACAACGTTTAGAAGAGGAAAGAGCTGACTGGGTATTTTCTCAAGTTCTACGGTATAACATTTCCTTAATTACATTTTTAAAATATCGTCTGTTTTCACAGCTGATATACGTAACGGATGCTGGCCAGGCGACGCATTTTCAAGTATTAAAAAGCTGTGCCAAACGAGCAGGGATCTTAAAAAGTTTCCACAGGGTGGACCACGTTGGATTCGGCGTGGTCCTCGGCCAGGATAAAAAGAAATTCAAAACTAGATCCGGCGAAACTGTGAAACTAAGCGACTTACTCGACGAAGGTAATCTTTCATTCGTCACATGCATCTAATTATCGTTTCAACCCTCGCTTTTTATTCAAGGTTTGAAAAGAGCATTGGATAAATTGAAGGAGAAGGAGCGAGACAAAGTGCTTAGCGAAGAGGAGTTGAAAACCGCCCAAGAGTCGATTGCTTACGGATGCATTAAATACGCAGATCTGTCGCACAACAGAAATCACGAATACGTGTTCTCGTTCGATAAAATGTTGGACGACAAAGGGAACACCGCGGTGTATTTATTATACGCTTTGACTAGAATACGTTCCATCGCTAGGGCAGCAAATATCTCGCAGGAGAAGCTGCAAGAACTGGCGGAGAGTACTCCGATTTCGTTGGAACATGAGAAAGAATGGAAGCTAGCAAAAGTATTAATTAAATTCCCCGACGTATTAATCAGAATCACTAAGGATCTGTACTTGCACCAGCTGTGCGATTACTGTTACGAGGTCTCGTGCTCGTTCACGGAATTCTACGACAATTGTTACTGCGTTGAAAAGAACGAACTCGGGGAGATAGTAAACGTGAACATCGGACGTATGTTATTAACCGAGGCTACAGCACTTATAATGGAAAAATGCTTCTGGATATTAGGACTGACGCCGGTCGCACGAATGTGAACATATTTATCCAAATACATTTAATTTAAATTAACAAATAAATTGTATTCTTTGTAAAGAACGAAGTTTATCATTTTTATTCTCCCCATCTGTGTTCCTTTATCTCTCCTTATACATCTTTTACTTTCTTTTATGAGATATTCTCGTTAAAATGATGTATAATAATGACATTCCCTCGACCGTTACATCAGCTAGAAAAAGATTTTACCTGTAAATGCATAGGCACATACAAGTTGCGTCAGCTTTGAATTGAATGAACCATGAACTTCCTCAATGCGTGTCTAACGCGCATCGAAGTATGTCATAGGGTGCTGCTCACGTGTAGTACTTAATTTTCTTACAATATCAATATTCTAAATAAAATGGTAAGTACATTGAAATGCTTCCCGTTGTAAACTTATAATTATTCATTTTTCGTCTATCGAATTGAAAAGAATCTAACAATAATTCGTAGGAATTATTGAGAATAACCTTCTAACCGGTAAACGTACCAGCTGTACCGTAAATACTTTTAATTAAAACAGGCAAATATTGTATAAATCGTTTATAATCTGTTGATAGGCAACGGAGAGGAAAGGAACGTTCAAGGTAGAATACCTTCAAAAAATAGAAAAAGAGGTGCAAGCGAAATGGGAAGCCAATAAAGTTTATGAAGAGGATGCTCCTCTGACACCTAAGAAAAGTCCCGATGAAAAATACTATGCTTCGTTCCCGTTCCCTTATATGAATGGGAGACTCCACCTCGGTCACACATTTTCGTTATCCAAATGCGAGGTGCATAATACAAATCGACGTAGACGATTAATAGTTTATACGAAACGAATTCTAATTCCATACCGTTTAATTACAGTTCGCAGTAAGATACAATCGCCTTTTGGGAAAGAAAGTAATTTTCCCATTTGGGTTTCATTGTACAGGTATGCCTATTAAAGCATGTGCCGATAAATTGAAAAGAGAAATGGAATTGTATGGCTACCCACCGCAATTCCCAGAGGAGGAAAAAGTCGAGGAAGTAGTGAACGACATAATAATAAAGGATAAAAGTAAAGGGACAAAGGTAATTCTCTGGTACTCGAAATATTCATAACATTTCTCTAAATTAACAATTATTTTTAGAGCAAAGCAGTTGCAAAGACAGGCACTGCGAAATACCAGTGGCATATCATGCAATCACTCGGTTTAGAGAACGAAGAAATAAAGAAATTTTCTGATGCCGAATACTGGCTAGATTACTTTCCACCCCTCGCTATGCAAGATTTAAAATCGCTTGGATTGCACGTACGTCATATAATAAGTGACCCAACGAAGCTTACTAATTTATAAAAAAAAAATTAACGTGAGACATTTCTAGGTGGATTGGCGTAGAACGTTTATTACCACCGACGCGAATCCATTCTACGATTCCTTTATACGCTGGCAATTTCAACATTTAAAAGCTAGGAACAAGATTAAATACGGGAAAAGGTACACGGTATATTCTCCAAAGGATGGGCAACCTTGTATGGATCACGACAGGTCGACTGGAGAAGGTGTCGGGCCTCAAGAATACATATTAGTTAAAATGAAACTCCAGGAACCTTATCCTCCGAATTTAAAGTACGTTTCGCAAGGAGTCGTATATGTTTTACACAATATTTACTATTTCTCTATTTTTATAGATCCCTTTCTGGCAAATCAGTTTATCTGGTAGCTGCCACTTTGAGACCCGAGACGATGCACGGCCTGACGAACTGTTGGGTTCATCCAGATATGAAATACATAGCTTACACCTTGGCAAACGGAGATGTATATATTTCGACGGAAAGAGCAGCTCGAAATATGTCTTATCAGGATTTCTTTGCGGAAGAAGGGAAAATAGCAATCGCGTTAAAACTTACCGGAAAGGTACGACGCTAATATTCGCGTGTTAAATACTCATTACAAATAACATTTAATGTACAGGATATATTAGGACTGCCATTAGAAGTACCTCTTACGAGTTATAAAGTGATTTACACTCTGCCAATGCTGACGATCAAGGAAGATAAAGGTACAGGCGTTGTTGCCTCTGTACCTAGCGACTCTCCTGACGATTATGCAGCCTTGGTAGACTTAAAGAAAAAAGCAGCTCTCAGGGAAAAATATGGTATAACCGATGAGATGGTGTTACCCTATGAACCCGTAAGTTGAATCGTTTTTCAACTCGCAAACAATGAAATACACGTGACTAACATAATTTTATCGCGTTAGATACCTGTGGTCGACGTACCCGAATACGGTACATTAATCGCGCCGACTCTATATGAGATGTTAAAAATCCAATCTCAAAACGACAAAGCCAAATTATTAGAAGCTAAAGAGATAGTGTATCTGAAAGGGTACTATAACGGTATAGTACTGGTCGGTCCATATAAAGGGAAGAAGGTTCAGGATGTTAAGAAGCAGATGCAAAACGACTTGATAAAAGATGGACATGCTGTTATATATTACGAACCGGAGAAAACTATAATCTCGAGATCGAACGACGAATGTGTAATAGCTTTGTGTAATCAGTGGTACTTGGATTATGGCGAGGAAATTTGGAAGAAACAGGCAACGAAATGTTTGAACGATCTTAATACTTTCCATGACGAAGTGAAGAAAAATTTCTTAGCTTGTCTGGATTGGCTACACGAATACGCCTGTTCGAGAACTTACGGACTTGGTAAATTCACGTACTTATATGAATTTAAAGCCTTTAACATTCTCACCGCGTCTTCACATTTTCTAAATGTACAAACTTTAGGTACTAAATTACCGTGGGACGAAAATTGGCTGATAGAATCACTCTCGGACTCGACGATTCACATGGCATATTACACGGTGTCGCACATATTACAGGAAGGAACGTTCAAAGGCGATAAACCGAACAAATACAACATAAAGTAAAACTGTTAATACCTCGATATAATCAATCGCCTCGTTCAAATTGTATAAGCAATTGTTTGCAGAGCTAACGAAATGACGCCGGAAGTGTGGGATTATATTTTCTTCAAAAATGCAAAGTACCCGAAGACGACTATAAAGAAAGTGGCATTGGAGAAAATGCGACGCGAATTTAATTATTGGTACCCAGTAGATTTACGGGCTTCCGGGAAAGATCTTGTGCAAAATCATTTAACATTCTTCATTTACAACCACACCGCGATATGGTCTGAGCAACCCGAGATGTGGCCAAGAGGAATAAGAGCGAACGGGCATTTACTTTTAAATTCGGCGAAGGTACAATTATTTTTAATTCTAATACATCTAACAATAATTTTGCAAGATCATCAACAGTGTAAATACCGTTTCATTAGATGTCAAAATCGGAAGGTAATTTCCTGACATTGGCCGAAGCTTTGGAAAAGTTTTCTGCGGACGGTATGCGACTTTCCCTAGCCGATTCCGGCGACTCGATAGAAGACGCGAATTTCGTAGAGAGCATGGCCGATGCTGGAATTCTTCGTCTCTATACTTTCATCGAATGGGTAAAAGAAACGTTGGCTTCAAAAGATACTCTTCGACAAGGAGAATCGTGTACGTTTAACGATAAAGTTTTCGAAAGGTATTATTTACAGTATTATTGAAATTACGTTGCTTCGAAGCCGATATTTATAAATGTACACCCGTACTAGCGAGATGAACCTCAAGATAAAAGAAACCGAAGAAAATTATTCAAGGATGTTGTTCAAGGAAGCACTGAAAACAGGATTCTTTGAGTTACAAGCAGCGAGGGACAAGTATATACAATTGAGCGCGCTGGATGGTATTAACTGGATGCTAATGATTAAATATATAGAACTTCAAACGATTCTTTTATCTCCCATATGTCCGCACGTGGCGGAACACGTGTGGTCTTTAATTGGGAAAGTAAGTTATCTCGTTGATAATGATTAAAATTTATTTATTACGTTGTATAAATCACGTTAAATATTTCTAACAGGAAGACAGTATACTAAACGCCAAATGGCCTGAGTTAGGAGCAATAGATGAGATTCTAATTAAAATGTCAGAATACCTTATGAACGCTGCGCATTCATTTAGAATTCTGTTAAAAAGTTATCTAACACCGAAGAAAGGAAAGACAGAACCAATAGAGAAACCGACGCAAGGGACGATTTGGGTAGCGAAAACGTATCCCCCTTGGCAAAATACTATCTTAACTACGATGAAAAATTTATATCTTGTCAGTAATTATGCTAATAATGTGAAACCAATTTATGTGCTTGCATTGACGACTATTATTTTCCAGAAAAGTAATAAATTACCAGAGAATAAAGTCATCGCTGCAGAATTAGGAAAATTGCAAGAACTGAAGAAACACATGAAACGAGTGATGCCATTTGTGCAGGCCGTGAGAGAAAAAATGGATACCGTTGGATTAAGTGCACTTAATCTGACATTAGATTTCGACGAGTTTAAGGTTCTCCAAGATAACATAAAATACCTGAAGAACACTTTGGATGTAAGTGCAACAAATACCCTTCTTGATATTCGTTTATAAAAATCTCTTAGGTAAGTTTATTTCTATTTGTCTTAGCTGGAGAATATCGAGATCAAATCTACGGAAGAAGCTACTGAGAAGACAAGAGAGGAATGTTGTCCAGGTGTCCCTTACATGAGTTTCTCTAGTAAACCTGGGATTTCGGTATGCGCGATAAATCCACAGAAATGTAAAGGTTTATTCCGAGTGTCCGTTAAGATATCAGATGGCGATACCGTGGAGGACGTGATATCGCGAATATCGAAAGAAAATAAAACTATTAAAGGTAGTATATAAATAGGCTATCAATTGACGTTTCATCTAATCTATGATATTTATTGGTATCTATTGATTCCCATAGATCCAATGTCAATATCACTATATCGGTACGACGATTTCTTATTGGGACCCAGAACGAAACCAATGCTCGATGACATGTTAAAAGGAAAGACTCAGATCCCACCCAGTTCCGTATTCACCGTTAATACAGAAAATAAAAGTATCAAAGTAAAAGTTAAGGGAAATGTACATAGCATAGGTAACGACCTAATGTACGTTTATCAATCATTCGATTGACACGCATGTACATACATAAGTTATATATAATTTATTTCACATCGAAACGTTCTTGAATACATTAATAAAAAGAGTGGCAGAAAAATATATACGTGCATTTTAATTGATACTCTTCCGTTTGTAAATTAAACTTTCAATGCGTCGTATACAATTTAAAAAACGATATATCAAACACGATGGCAAACGTGATGTTCGCCAGTAGTAGATACGTATAAAAGTATTTAAAACTTCCTAAATCTCTCAATTTTATTATTACTGTTTATTACGTAGGCATCGTTATTTTACGTATTTACTTTGCCATTTTTCTACCTCTACTCTTATCTTCCTTATATCCGTGGCAGTCGTCCTACAACATCCGCCGATATATCGAACACCTAAGTCGAGCCATTCGTGTATAAACTCGTGTAAAGAATATCCCTCTTCCGCCACCGTCCAGCCGTGTTCCACCGTGTACTTCTCACCGCTGTTAGGGTACACTACGAGAGGTATGAAATCTTGATTACAACTTTTGTTGATGCCCTTCAACAAGGCTGTCACGTTCTGCGGCGCAATGCAATTGACTCCGATTGCCAAGATTTGTCCTGGCAAGGCTGTTCTGTAACACCTCGTAGCTACGTCTTGAAAATTAGATCCGTCCACTATGGTCTCTCCGTCGGAGGAACACGAGAAGGACAGCCATGCTTTGCTATTAGGAAATTCCTTCAACAGCTTGACAAGTGCTTGGGCTTCCCTTTTACATGGGATCGTTTCTATCGCAAGTAGATCGACGTCGCTGTTCACCAATTTCTGAATACGCGGCCTGTGCCAATTCATGAGCATTTCTTCTGACACGGAAGAACAATATTTCCCAGTGTACTCCGAGGCATCGTGCAGACAGGCTCCATATGGACCAACGGACCCAGCTATCAGCGGATTAGGATTTGCGATGTTCTCGCCAGTCTTCATATCGTTCTTGTACAAGTTTATGGCCTTCTTAGCGTAATTCACCGCTTTACAGAATAAATCGAGGCTCTCCTCTTCTGTAAGGTTCATGTACTTCTTGAAACCATCGACGGATGCTTGATAAGTGCCTGTCAGAATTATATTCGCTCCGGCTCTCAAAAAATCCAAGTGCGTAGAGACAACTGACTCGGGGTCTGTGATGAGAAATCTTGCAGTCCACAAAGGATCACCGTCTATCACGTTGCCCACGTGGGTCGACAATTGTGTAGAAAATCCACCGTCCAACACTTTTATTTCTCGACTCATGACCCCTCTTATTATTATATAAAAATTATCAAATAGTTTCTATTCGAAGGAAACTAACGTTCGAGTATACAGAGAACTTGAAATCGTACAATTCTCTTGAGAGTACCAATGAATTTAAAAAACTGTAACAATCAACTATCAGAAAATAGCGTACGTGTTGGCCGTTTAAATGTTTCTGCGAGTCTGAGGCGATACGCGCTGTGATCTGCCTGACGGAATGCACGTGTTCCAAAGTCCATAATCTTCGAGATAAATATTACAAATATAATGAATTTGACGAACAATTACTCCGACGTACAAAATGCGGTTTTTTTATAGCACCCGTGGATTGGTGTCATGCCAGAGAGATCAAATTTTTGTCACGTGTTATTTACACGTACCGTGATAAATTACGTATGTTACGTAGTGCTCCGTATATAGATACATCGATGTACATGCAATATTTCCAAGTGTTTCAAGCTGTTCCGATAAGTTTTAGTCAACATCTATCGATATCTTCCATCGAACGAATTTAAGATTACGATAGCGGAATTCTTATACGCAAAGTAGCCTAGTGAAATAAAAAACGATTTAGATACGAGAATAAGTGCCCCTCGTTAATGAATAGAGGCGTAAAATAAGATCTAACTTAAATAAATTAAATCCCCTTTCTCTGTCTATAATTATACACTTCCTTCCTGACTGATCTTATGTTATCCGCATACATCCTGCAGCAGCCTCCGAGATACCTCACTCCAAGTTCCAGCCATTCTGGAATGAAGCTTTCGAACGGTGGACAATTTTTATCTTCTATCCATCCTATGCCTGGCGAATAGAGTTCACAGCTATTCGGATATGCTATCAGTGGTAAAAATTCGCTGCCTGAGCCCTTATTGATATCCTTCAAAAGGCCAGTCACATCTTTCGGTGGGAGGCAGTTGACACCAACAGCAATTATTTGTCCTGGCAAGGCCATCTTATAGCAACGTGAAATGACTTCTTGGAAATTGCTGCCATCAGCTAGATTTCGGCTGTTCCTTTCGCAGGAGAACGAGAGCCATGCCTTGACATTTGGATATTCACGTAAGAGTTTGACTATCATTTCTGCTTCTTGGTAGCAAGGGATAGTTTCCAGTGCTAGGAGATCGATGCCAGCTCCTATAAAACTGTCTATCCTTGACTTGTGCCATTCAATCATGGTTTCACGCGGTGTGCTCTTTCCATAAGATCCATTATATTCTGAACCATCATGCAAGCTGGAACCATACGGTCCGCAAGAACCAGCGATTATTGGATTCCTGTTTCCCACGTTGTCATTTCCCTTTATCTCTTTCATATAATCGTTGACTGCCTTCTTGGCAAGCCTAACAGCATCTTGCAATAGATTTATACCGTCTTCTTTGGTGATAGACAAGTATTTCATTAAATCCGAGACCGAAACTTGATACGTGTTCGTTTCAATAATATCTGCCCCGGCTCGCAAAAAGTCTAAATGAGTAGCATATACCGCGTCAGGGTTTGTAGCTAAAAATCTCGATGTCCACAACGGATCGCCGTCAATTTTCGCACCTACGTGGGTGGACAGCTGACCAGAGAAGCCACCGTCTAAAATCTTAACGTCCATCCTTGTTTAATACTGTATCAAATGTTTTAAAACATGCGAAGAGTATTTGATTCGTTTGGTTTGATAATTTCTCGAGCCACTTAGAAATCTTTTGGAATGTTTTAATATTTTAATACGTTGAAGAGTCTCACAATCGAGTGAATACGTCGACTAAACCAACGATACAACACAATTCCGGATTTTCTATCAGTCACTCGTAATAAATTAGTTACGATAACCTTTTCACCTCTCTTGTGAAACGTATTCAGCAAGTTTCGACACTTTTAAGGAATACGATGCCTAGTTAGATTATTTACAGACGTCCGCCAATAACCGGCAAATCACTCTCATGTTGTGTACGAAATTATGGAGATTTCGGACGGTAGCCGAGATAGCTCACGCGGTATATATCGAGTGTCGATGATCGATACGAGTTTCAAATTTCAAATAATCCTCCCCAAATTCTACTAATCCTCTGAGAACAATTAATTTCCTAGCTTCGTCAATTTATCGAATCACGATTATATTTCAACGACATAGAAATAAATGTGGATTTAGTTTAAGAGTCGCCGTTCCATTGCGAAACGTTATCAACTCTCCGAATATCAAAGTAAAAACAATAACAACACAGAAATGCTAATTAAACTAAATTAGGTCGTTAAATTCTTTGAACATCTTAAGTGAATTTGTAAACCGTAGTTAATAAGAGTAATAAATTGAGTTACATACATAAATCTTCGCGTGAACGTATGTATTACCTAATTACGTCCAGACCTTGAACTTCATTTGCTGATAATGAAACGTAGTTTAGCATTAATAGTTCGATAACGTATCATAGAATCCCCTGCAAGATGTGTCGCAACGCTTATATTTATTTACAGCGATCTACATCTTTTTTTCGCAAATTGAAATGTTCGAAACGGTCGATCATTTTATCTACCTGCCGCCTTTACTAAACGTAAATAACCGATATAATTTCGCGAGTATCGAGTCCTTTCGTACAGTCGAAAGAAGCTTAAGCGTTGGGACGGAAGCACGACGATATACATGTATCATAGTAAGCACATAAACAATTTATGCATATTTATGACTCAATAGTCCATTAAATATGTCGCAACCAACTTCGAATGTATATTATATAGAAGGTATCGAATGTTATTTTTGAATTATATGTATATTTGTTAGCTAGGGGCTCAGGTGGTATCTTAAGTATGCCAGAAGTGAATGCACTGGGTGATGAAGAATTCGCATGGCTGTTTGATAATGTTGTGGAACAGAACCCAGATGTAGCGAAACACGTGGCACCCAAGAGGCCATTCGCATCACGTAGACAACTCAAGAGATGCTTTTACGAGTACTTAGACAATCTAGACGTCGATGGTAAGGCTAAAAGAACAATCGAAGTTATGTGGTTCTTAAACTATCGATCTATGTACTACGTTCGTTTTCAGAAAAGGAAGAAGTGTTGCTCAATCACTCGGATATTCTAGGGCAACTACTCGATGGGTCACTTCTTTATGATACACAATATGAACAAGAAAACATTATATTTCAGGCGATGTCAAACGAGGAGAAAGAGTTATTAAGTACTTACAATGAATCGTGAGTAAAATAAGAAAATCGCGTGACCACGAATGGAAGATCGTCGAACTTAATCGGCGTCTTTTGTTTACAGATATAAAGAAAAATTTGGTATTCCGTTCGTAACCTCTACATGGGAGAACCGAAATCGGGCGATTCTCACATCGATTCAAGCGCGATTACAAGACACAAGAGAGAATGAATTACAAGTTGCGTTTACGGAACTTAAGAAATTGTGTAAAAAAAGACTGAATCATCTCGTATGGCCAGATGTGATGGTATCCAGAAGAACTTAACACAAATAACTATATAAAATACGTCAAATAATTATAAGAAACACCTATTATTACTTAAGATATTTAATAATACAAAACCAATGATTCCTCTGTTACAAATAAAGCCATGATTTATAAGATGCCAAGACTATTTTCTACAACAGCATGCGGCTGTCCCATTTGTTCCCTGAACTCGGGTATGTTTAATATATCCTCGAACCTAAATATATAAAACCTGTTACCACCATGTCAACGACATACTTCGCCTAATAAAGAACATTTGACGACGAGCTATTTACCCAATTTCCTCATCCTTCCCAAGTAACACATTTCTCATCATATTGGACGATGGAAGAAACGGGAGTCTCCCAATCTTTTCAGTAGCTTTCAATTCCATTGCTAAACGCATAGGTGCATGTAATCCTTGAATATTTCTTAACAGCACCATGTTCATACGTGTACGATTTTTTTCATACTAAAATATACATTAAATTTATCTTTTTAATGCAACGACCCTCGACTTGGTACAGATTTATTTCCTTACGTTATTCTCAGATACTTCTAAAGGATGAGTATATCCTATGTGCTGCCTAGTAGCTGCTAGTCCCGAAATCATTGGGTTAGGAATACCGTAATTATCATCGCGGATATTGAACTGATCATTTACAGCAGGCTTCGGAACAACCGACGGCAGACCGAAACTCATTGTGCTTTTAATACGTATAATTCAAGTATTTATAAAGCCAAAAGACACAATATACGGGTTCACAGAACGATACACTGTACGTTCGTAAATGAAATGCAAGTTTGACTTGACGTTTAGCACGTGTAGATGTGCAAGTCAGTGATTAGGGCGGATTTACAAACGCCTTGTCGTTCGCTTCGTACAGTAACGAGCAAGCATGGGAAGATTTAAATACTAATGAAATGTAGTAGATATTTTAGGGCAGAATAAGAAAATATTGAATTCTAGACGATATCAAAAAAGGAGAAACAATTACTAAATACTTATTTCTCAATGATCCAAATATTAGAATATCACCCGAGCCGCGCGTTTGCGAGAATATTAGCAATGAACCGAAATATTTGAATAATATAAGAAGAATTAATATTAACGAAAGAAATTCAAAATGTAGAATTTACGTGCAATACGCGTGTGGATATATGCGGTATTTCGACAGATATGCTGCCACCTCACGGCCTAAACTTGCCTTCGGGACGCTACCGCGTCGCTTGATTTGAAATATGATCTCAGCTTTGAAATATATTACAGCCAGAAGCTTTGATTTGAAATTATGAACCTTGACCACCCCAAAAGTTACGCGGTATTTAATCGCAATCCTTAAAGAAACTTATATTCTTCGTGCTTCTTATTTTGATGGTACCGTCGATGATGCTGGGAATAGTTTCACCATATCAGTGAAATATTCGGGCTTTTAATTTTGCGCAACTCTAACGCGATCATCATTTTCGCAACACTAATATAAAAGAACATGAGAAACTACTCGCGATATTCGTAACTCGCAACGCTACAATACTAATGAATCAAACTAATTTTATGTGAAGAAAATTCTAAATAAAACAAGCAATGGAAAAAGCTAAACTTTAATTCAATGAAAATACAAAGAACAAACGCGTGATCATGGTACGCAACGCTACTATCAAAACGCGACTAGCATCTCGCAACTCTAATTGCAAAACCGATACCTTAATTCGCGACTCTAATGCAACCCGTCTGAATAATTCGCAACGCTAAATGGAACCGCGATTGCCCACGAACATTGCTTACAAACTATAAACGAGCACAGTGACAAAGTAGTAATTGGATGATTCCGCATTTAGGAAATTATATGAACATAATTTCTGAATGCACAATCATTGATAGTTGCCCTCTTCCGAAGGTGCATATAGCACCGGGCCTCTTCAGCCGTAGCCTCTTCTTTCTTCGGGCTCTTCTGCCCCGGCGAATGATGAAGGACATCCTGCAAGAGTGGCATTCGAAGAATCGACTACGTAAAAACCGTCGATTGATCGAACGCAAATTTCCAGAAACAGGTTGAACACGGCGAGAAGAAAAAGACGCGATTGAGAACGTGTCAACCTGCCCCGGCCCTACCTGCTTACATACTAACAGGCGTACCAGAAGTCAATTACCTGCCTGCCTGACCCTCCTATATATATTTAAGAAAGGCAAAACAGACAAACCAACAGACTCACGCGGTACGACGGTACGTACGGGCTCTCATCTGCTCGGATGCAAGGGCCTGCAGGAGCCGTCCCGGGACGACCCCGCAACCGAGTTTGCCATACAAACAGATTCACTCAGCAGTACGTAGGTACCGTTCACCTGTAATCGGCTGGCAAAACTAGCTACTACAGCGAATTATTATATTAACTTCCCGAATTTAATAAAATATATGAAATGAACTATAAAAAATATATTGGACTTTTTCATTTTTATTTTAATGAAGATGATTCTAATTGTATGTTAGACTTCTATATGTGAAATCTATCAAGAACTCAAGTATTTAAAGATCGAATAAAACGTTCCTTCGAGAATTGAGAAATAATAATGAGAAGAGACTTCAAGCGTTCAATTGTAAAGAACACCGACGCAAGTCTGCATGCGGAGATTGCGTCGTGTACGATTGACAAACTAGCCAGCCGTGCGCTTATAAACTATTAAATACTTATAAACTACAAAAAATTCATCGTGCCTATCACCTATCACCCACTCAAGTAGCACCTGGGCACATGAGCGGGATCCTGGCGAGTAAACACGGAATGAGACCTGAAAATCCTGATCTAAAAAATGCATGATTAGTATTTTATATCAAAATAACTCTTTTTATTTTTATTTAATTCTTTTATACATATATTTATTTATTTGCTCTCAAGATGAAAGATGTATTGAACAATAAATAACAATTGAAATGTTCTATGGGAGATCTCTTCGTCAAAGCAAATGATCTATGTGAAACATGAAAAGTTTTCATACTGAAAGCTTTGACATCGAAATCTACCCCCTATCACCTTCTTGTACGTGAAATGTAATACATTTCTTTATGCGGATAATTAGATATCGAAGTTTTACTAACGCGAACTCTACTGCGATATATTATAAGAATATTGCATCTTTAATTAACGAAATGTTACGATGGATAGATAATTTCGTATCATTATTAAATATCGCGAAATCGGAAAAATAGAATGTAATTAATAACACATCATGCATCATGCATTAAAAGTTAAGAACGTGTCCTACCGTTTAGTACTCTCAAATCAAATCTGAGAATTTCTACTTACACTTCACACGAAATCAGAGGATATCCAACTTCACCTCTAAATCACTACATGGCCAAATGAAATCGTACTGGCCATGCAATTACTAAGTTATTCATTGAAAAATACTTGTATTATTTAATAAAATGTTCGTTCTCAATGTCGTTCTCATTAATATCAAATAAATCGCGAGTACAAGAAGCCCTTACCTGAGCTGATATATGAATGAAATATCACACAATACAACATAGAAATGTTACTACTCCCGAGCATTTATAAAAATATTATAAATGCTAAGGGTCACCATGCTCGTCAAACAAGTATAAAATACAACCAGTCACCCGTGCCGTTTCGGACCTTTCGTCCCGGCATGATTGAGCGACTGGAGGAACATAAAAGCATACGACTCACTGATAAAAGCCTCTATTGACGTTCCTTCCGCCAGGCAAAAGTTGAGGGATGTCAGGAACCAGCCACCAAAAGTTGTGCAATGCCGGGAATCAGCTACCACAGGTTGAGGGATGCCAGGAACCAGCCACCAGACAGCCAGGCAAGAAGGAGAATAGAGATGACAACTATAACAGATAAGAATAAGGGAAGATTATGATAGAATCTCACAGAATGTAGAGATAACTTCGTGAAAGTACAGACAAGCAATCCCGGGAATATCCAACAAGTGGTTAATGGAACGCGTCTTTGTCGACCGGCACTAATAGCGAAAATTGACAAAGAATAATGTACGAATAGTACTCATACTTACGCGAAGTAATGAATTCGTCGTGATTAAACATCTAAACTGATAACAATTATGTTCGTACGAACTCTTGAAGATTAAAGTTGAACGAAATACGTAGAGGACACCTGACGCTACGACGCTACGTGCTGCGTACGTGCTCGAGAGGGAACAGCAAATGGCGGACGCTCGAAGTGGGAGAGGGGTCACGTGATTGGTAACCGACGCGCGGAAATTCAAAATTACGAATCGCTCTCAAACTCTTCGGTGGTTTCATTATTCTCCAACGCACAGCGCTATCGTCGAAATTTCTACATATGTAACATGTATATAACATTTATCCTATACATATATGTATTATTATTTATTCTTTACAGATCTCAAGCTAAATATCGTAGCTTCAAACATCTACACGTAAACGATTGTTAAATGATTGGTGCGAAAGTGAATGCCAAAGCTTCGTTAGGCTTTAATTATGAGAAGAAAGACACATTTCGTTCCACGATGACGAGAGAAACTCATGTCACTGTTCGATATAATAGTTGCTAATTCAACTCCGTTCATAACAATCTTAGCTTGCCAAATAAAATAAATGAATGAACATTTAATGTACGAAATCCGTTTGACGTGTTCACTTTTATTCTCCTCCTTCAGAAGGTTTCAGTGATAAAGAAGGAGTACAAGCCCACCTATAAATGTCAACGTGTACATTTGCTACGTGTATACGTAGTACTGTTCCTCGATTTTTTCGTTCAACTCAAACTAAACAGGTAAGATAAGAATACGGAATAATACTTGAAACAAAATTTTCTTACGATTGCAAATAGGTAAGTTAAATTTATCAGTTTTATCATGATTCATTGATTCAATTAAAATGTATATCATTTTTCAGATGAAATGATCCACGTATTTTGAATGTGCTCATGCAGGATATAACTATAAACATGAAACAACAGAAAAGTAAGTATGCATTGATTAGTTAATAATACTATAATGAATAAATCATTTCCTGGTATCTTGTTTCTTTCACAGCAAATACTCAAGCATTAAAATACATTAGTTTAGTTACTCTTACATTACAAAATGCTGTCGTCGGACTTATTATGCGATATGCGCGAACGAGGTCAGGAGATATGTTCCTTTCATCAACTGGTATGTTACAAATCAACTATTCCAATCTATTAATCAATCTTATATGTAATCTAATCTTTATAATATTCCAGCCGTTGTTATGGCAGAAGTAGTGAAACTCTTAACATGCCTGGTACTATTTTTCATCGAGGAGGGTAGCATCTCAAAGTTCATTAATGGCTTAAAATCGACTATTATAAAGCAGCCTATTGATACTCTAAAAGTATCTGTGCCATCACTTTTATACATTATCCAAAACAATCTTTTATATCTATCAGCATCTAATTTAGATGCTGCAACTTATCAGGTACACACAATATTTTCTATTCTATTCATTCGTTCAATAATTTTATCTGTTTATCTTCAGGTGACGTACCAATTGAAAATCTTGACAACCGCATTCTTTGCCATTGTAATATTGCGGCGATCGTTAAGAAATACTCAGTGGGGAGCTCTAATATTATTAGTCTTGGGAGTAGTATTAGTACAATTGGCACAAGGTTCCGAGGAAGCTGTGCCTTCTGGAATAAAGCAAAACCGTCTGCTCGGATTCGCGGCTGCTTTAAGCGCATGTTTTCTGTCAGGATTCGCGGGGATCTACTTCGAGAAGATACTGAAGGACTCAGACATATCGGTGTGGATGAGAAACATCCAATTGAGTTTACTGTCGTTGCCTTTCGGGCTGATCACTTGCTTCATAAACGACGGTAAAATACTACAGAAGCAAGGTTTCTTCTTCGGCTACGATATATTCGTTTGTTACTTAGTCGTACTTCAAGCAGGCGGGGGTCTTATCGTAGCGGTCGTCGTTAAATACGCAGACAACATACTTAAAGGTTTCGCTACGTCTTTAGCCATTATTATTTCCTGTATAGCTTCTATATATCTTTTCGATTTTAATTTGACCCTCCAATTCGCGATCGGTGCCGTTCTCGTGATCTGCTCGATCTTCATGTACAGTTATCAGCCGAAACCTGCGTTTATGGATAAACATTCGCCGACTGATAAAGTTTGATACGAATTTTAACCATTTTCTACGTGAGTCTCACTGGACTGTAAAACATATGTGACGACGTCGATGTCAATGACATTCACGCAACAGTACAATTGAATACAGATTTGTACGGACGTACGATTGAAAGAAGCTTCTCATAGCTCACTCTTTATCAGTATTTTCTACATGAAAATTGAGCAAATTTATGCATCGAGTAACGGCAGTAATAGTTTACTTGGTGGAAGTACGAACATGTTGAACGTGTGTTCAGATAAACTGTGTGAAACTTATCTAAGAATTATATAGATATATGTAATTACACTTTTATATGAAATTAACTACATGGTATGCATAAGTACTTCTTTTA